TTGGAGCTTGGGGTGACTTCCCCTTTGTATGGACTGGGTAATAAAGCCACACTGTCACCCTCGTGGTAGCCCACGCAGTTGGCCAGTCCATTCACCAGCTGTGGTAAATTCTGGCAAGGGGTCCCCAACATCCTGGGTCCTTGTCTTTACTTAAATGTGATATGTGGCGACAAGGCACTGGTCCCCAAAGCAGCCCTCCATGGCATCAAAGGTTTCTTCATAGGTCACTCCCACTGGAACTTTGTGTAGCATGTCAGTGGCCCAGCCCTGCAAGACGGTGATCAAGTACGTGGATTTCTCCTGGGGCATCCAGCAGTTGTTCTGCTATAGTCTTGAACTGGCTCTGGAACACAGCCCATGATGTAGTTCTGTTGAACTCTGGTGACTTTGCTGTGCTCACACTGGTTCCTGTTCCTCTTCCACCCCTGACTGCTTTCAAATGTGACTGGAAGTTACGAGTGGCCACAATCTCAGTTTCCATTCTTTCTTGATTGATTCTTATTTCAGCCTTCACTGTTTGTGCTTTGACCTGCAACATGAGACCAAGCTGTTTGTGGAGGTAATTTCTAGTGCCTGCTAAGGTTTCCTAGAGGTCCTTCGTCCACATATCTAGAGACGTCTTTACTGCCTGTAAGTCAACCTGTGTTTTATTAATCTTCTCGGTCAGTTCCTACCGGAGGGCCTGTGTCTTTTGGTCAACACATGACAGGACATCTTCCACCCGATGTTTGATGACCTCCTCTAACTTAGACCACATGAAGTGTACTGCAGCCTCCATCTTGTCTTGGATGGCACTTATGTGGATTTCACTTCTGCTTGGCCACATTTAATTTCATCTAAGACTTATGTCTGTTTTTGCTTGGTTGTTATGTACCATGGCTTTGAGACCTCCCATGGTGGCTATCAGTTATTCAAAATCTGCCATAGTTATCCATCACTAGTGTTACAACTCAATAATACACAATTCACTACGTCTAACAATTCAGTGCAATTGATTGATCAATCCCACTTCTGGCACCAGTTGTCACGAGTACAGGAGACTACAGACGGGATTTTGGATAACTAGATTTATTGGTCGCTTACAGGTCGTAACTACAAAAAACTACAAATAACACTATCGCTGATTTCCACCCTTTACAAATCATTACAGCATGTGCTAAGTGTTTCTAGCCTGCTGTGTCTTCACTAGACGTTTCAAGGTAAAGTCTTCCAACAGTGACTATTCCCTGCTTCCATGTTCAAGTCCTCTCCAAATGGCAGCTCACTTCCAACTAGATATTCTTGATCCAGTTGTCCTCATAACCCCTTGGCAAGGACCACCATAGAAAAACCAATTTCCCACAGTAGCTCTACTGTTATCACAGGAACATGTTTCTTTGCACTGTTGCCTAGAAACAGCTCTACAGTACACTACATTACAGTGTGCTTCTCAACAGCAGCCTACTTCAACTGATGCCAAGCAATTCTGTCAGTCACATAATGTGCCATTAATGAATTCAGATCACTGAGGCTTCAATGAGCTTCACTGATGCAGGGTACAGCACTGGTGTAGTGATGCTATACTTGCCACTTTCGCTCACATACCTGTCATAATTAGACTATTCAGTGAGATACCTGTAGCTGTACTACATCAGTTAAAATGCACAATTTTCCTCACATCTGAACACACTTTTACCTATTGGGTCTAGTAAACATAAATGAGTCACAATTTCTGTCATATCTTGCAGTATATAACATGCTTACAAAAGAGGTTCAAGTATATGGACACCATATTGTAAAGCTGTTCCCAATATTATAGTTCAGCTTTCTTTTTGCCTACTTTCCTTATTTTGAAAAAATAAAAGTACACTTATATGAATCACCATGCTGCATGTGTATCACCCCTATCAACTTCTGAATACCAGATCCAATCTTTGTGAAGCTTGGTACTGTAGATCATGGCACTTGAGCCCATTTCAACAGCTTGCTTCGTAAATCCCTCCCATCAGTCTGTGATCCTGTATATGTATCCTCTTATCACTGCTAGGCAAAAGCTCAGTAAAAAGTTACCATGCTAACAAATATGCATGCAAGAATAGAACTGGTGGACATGTTGTTTTCTATGCAGCCCATGTCTTATAAAAGGAAAGTAGATGATTAATTCTTCCAATTACTTCCTGTTATTGTATAAAATGAACATAAACTGACTACAAAATACAAAGTTCGTATTTGTATCATATGTTATTTCTTGTGCTCAATGAAGTTACTGTTTGTTTCACCTCCTTTTTAGTTCATATTTTTGCAATTCTATCACTTTCCCCATTGGGACTTCAAATATGTCTTTACATACAATGGTTTCTGTATTACTTAACTACTTCATTTATGTGAAAGAGCAACCTTGAATATAATGGTCTTATATGATGAATTTCACTCATACTGGAAGAGTAAATATAAGATCAGCTTGTAAATTCTGTTGTGATCTTCTTGATAAGTTGTTCAAATGACAATGAAGATCAACAATGTGAGTCTATGTTAACAAAACTTATTTTATTTATTTATGGCTCTTGTAATGAAGCTTTCAATACAAATATTATGTTTCTGGACATTATCCAACACCCTGCTTCTATCTAATAACACTGTCCAGTTTATTTTTCAAAACACAGTGTTTGGGAGACTGGATTCTGTCTCCATCTTCAGTTAAAACCTACTCAGTTGGGCCCAATAGATAGCGGTAGTCCCGAACTACAGACTCAGAGATAGGGACAAGCTCTATCAATTGGGTCTAACTGAGTAGGTTTTACCTGACCAGAGAGATAGAATCCAATCTCCCAAACGCTGTGTTTTGAAAAATAAACAGGACGGTGTTTTCAGATAAAGGCAGGACGATGGATAATGCCCAGAAACATATTACTTGTGCTAATGTACCATCTTCACAAACTTTTAAAGCTTTCAGTAGCTTATACTATGTAGCACTGAATGACAGAATTAAAAGTAATGCTGTCCCTGTGTTTAATTAATTAAGCACTACAGCATGAAGACGTACAGGGGAGTGAAAGTATAGCTCCACTGCTCTTGACCTTGGCACTAGACGTAGGTGATGGATCAGCTTCATGCCCAGGTTGCTTTACCACAAGGAATCATTGTCCCATTACCCACTGGACAGGAGGCTGGGAGAGCCCCAGAGCCAGTCTGGACGCTATGGGGAAGAGAAAATCTTGCCCCTGCCAGGAATCAAACCCTTGCTCTCCAGCCTGTAGCCTACTGTTAGTAAGAAAATAATGAGTTGGAACAGATGTCAAAGGGGAGCCAGGATAGTGTAGTTGGTATAGCGACTGGCCACAAGCTGGACGGCTGAGGGGTCCAAGTTCAAGTCCTGGTAGGTTTAAGAATTTTCTCTTCTCCACGTTGTCCAGACCGGCTCTGGGGTCCACCCAAACTCCTTTTAAGCCAGTAGTTGGGGCTCTTTCCCTGGGGATAAAGTGACCGGGGCATGAAGCCTCCAGATAGTGCTGAAGTCAAGAAAATGTGAATCTATACATCCACTCCCCCATATGCCTTCATGGCACAGTGCTTAATTAGTTAAGCACAGGGACAACTTTACCTTACAGATGTCTAAGTGCCTGTCATCAAATCTGAGACATTATCACAGAATTTGCCTGGAAGAACTGAGGGGAAAACAAATATCTGCTGTCAACACAGCTGACCTCTGGGTCTTTTTGAATATTAAGCAGAAGCAGTAACCACTTGATCACAAAGTCTGATAATACAGATTATTATTATTAGTGCATTATGCTGTATGAATTCAAAATAATTTAAAATTCAACAGTGTTATCAGACTTACCATTACTGGGGCAGTATAGAATCGAAACCGTTTTGTTTCAAATGAATCAAATATGGTTCAAACTTAAAACAATTTTGAATGGACAACCTATTGCAATGATCTCCAACTCCTCAGAATCCCTCAGAAGACACTTACTTGACTGTCAGTTCTAATGCAGGAGCAGCACAGAAAGGTCCGATCCACTGCAGTTTTCATATATTCACATTTGTGGCAGCTGTGTTAAAAAAATCACCTAAGGGACTGGCTTGTAACTTCACTCACTATTTTAATGGAGAAAGAAAGGGATGAGGTTTGAAAGAGAGAAAAGAAAGAAAGAACTGAGCAAAGGATGAAGGTAACAAAGATGTGATTCCCCACTGAATTTCACCAGGCTTACCCACTAGTCTACATGTATTAAGAAGACTTATAATAATAGAAAGGCTAATGTGCATATTCATATATCTTAAGTGCTAAAGCACTATGCATGAAGAATAAGAGATGTGAAGGTAAAACTCTTAGCAGAAGTGTAGGAAAATCTTATGACGGAAGTTAAGTCACCTTCATGTTCTAGCTGCTTTAGGCCCAGGAGCCTCCAGAAACCAGTGAATAAGTCTATCTGGGCTCCAGAAACAATTTGGACATGGTGGTAAAAAGAAAAATTCCTGCTCCTTATGGAAGTTGAACCCAGGCCATCTAATGTACAGCCAATCATTTTACTCACTGAGTTTATCAACATAACAGATGAAATTTTACTGTGCAATTGTCCAATAACCCATATGTTCACAGTTTATACATTTTCAAATGTGTCTGACTTTCCTGGCTGGCATGCCTGAATTATGGAACTGTTTACATGGTACCACTATCAAGGCTCATTCTGCTACTTACAATGACAAGGTGATGGCCAACACAGGGAACCTACAGCTTTCGACAGGCTCTGAAGCATGATGTGTAGGAAGGAAGCTCCATTCCTCAATCTCTTTCACATTAAATGTGTTGTTTTACTGTCATGATTGTACAGATCTTATAGATCGGATTTGTATGGAGTCAGGTAGCTGCTCTTTACATAATATTACTACCCATTTAATAACAAGTGAGGCAAATACTTTCACAAACAGAAAATGTTACTATAAAACAAATAAGTAGTTACAGCAGAGAGATGGAAGAAGAAGCGGGAAATTTTGTTTTGAACGTTTAGCCAAAGGCGTATGCAGAAAATTTATTTTAAAAGAATCCACTAAGACTGATTCTTTCTTGAAAGAATTATGTAACTAGGCATGTTCATCTTAAGTGAATTCATAGCGGTGTGTATCATCAAGATTATTTCCTGTAACTGATAAATCTACCATTTATAGTAATGGATGACATGGCTGACAAGCTGAAATGGATATTCTAGTAAATCTGTAATAAAATTATCATGGCAAGTGTAAAAGGTGAATTACAAGAAATAATCTAGGCACATATAAAATATACTCTTTCACAAGTGTGTGGGAAAAAAAAAAACTTTCCTGTCATACTAATGTTTTCATCAGACTGTCTATTCCTACCACACAATAGTGTTTATATTTAGTATACAGATAGGGGAAGACTAAAATGGTAAATTGCTTAATAAAGCAACAACTAATGAGTATGAATAAATACATCCACTGGTAAGTATTACTCCTCTTTCATGCTACTATACACTATGGTTTTCGCTTCTGAAGTAATAAAGCATGTATTTACACATTATATCCTCTTCTGGGTCTGGAACTGTTCTCATAATAAAATTCACAGCTCATAAACTGTAAGTATATTCTATTAACATCCACAGTACTCACACATCAGCCATCTTACTTTTGGTTTAACTTTGTAGTAGTTTAAGACTCACTTTATGATCTCATTTAATGTTAGATATATTTGAACTTGAGTCAGATTTTGGGGAATTGGCAACTGAGGTACTGGCAAAACCTGTACCGAGGTAACAGGAGCTTCCTTGTTTTGAGGTGTGTACATCAAGGTATGCTTGTCGGGAGAAAACACGGCTGCAAGTTGGACACTGGTATTTGCTGATGTGAACTTTGTTATTGTGCCGCAATAGTGACGTCTGAAACTTGAAAGCTTTGCCACATGCCCTGCAGAAGAAAGATTTCCGAGATTTGGCCGAGTAGTCTGAAGCTTCAGTTTCAACATCTGCAACACTCTGGGGAAAACTGTTCCCAGATGCTGCAGAAAGATCTTGGTCATCACTACTAGCATTTCTTCTTTTTGGAGACCTCTGCTTCTGTTTAAAGCTCTGTCGCATTAATTCCTTGTGCACTGGAGTTGTTACTAAGCCTAATGCAGTAGCATCTGAATCTGTTGTACCACTTTCAGATTGCAGTTTTTCATGAGCTACCCTTCGCCGCTGGTTTATTATCAGAGGGTGTATCTCATAACCAGAGAGCTGAGGATAAAACATGGCAACAGGATTAGGTGGGCCATGTGGTTTACCATAAGCTCCCATTCCAAAAGGTAGGTTGGAAGTTGATGCACGCGGTTCATCAGTGCGTTCCACATCCACATCATAGCAATCAGCCATGCTGTTTGGTAAAGTGACAGATGCCACTGCAACAAAGTGGAAGAAAAATATTTACACCTTCAACATCTTTCATGTAAATAAACACCAGCTCTATAGAAAGTAATCACATATAAGTCTGGGAAAAACGAAATGTACACAACAGTTCATAACCAAATAAGTGTATTTGAATTACTGACCTTAGATTTATTAGATGACACTATTTCATGCAGCTACTGACGGCAAGATTATCAAAATTTCTATTTGAGTTTGATATACACTTTTAAAAACATGTTTTTGTTTCATTATGGAGGCACAGCATTTTAATTCTAGAACATCACTAGAGTTAATCTTCAAAGCAGTGGCGTGTTTCACATGACGATTTCACTGTTTTAACTAGTTCTGTAAATAATTCATCGTACTACGACGTCTATCTTCTGGCCAGTACGAGAAAAACAAATATGTGCTAACAAAACCTTTCAAGATGTCATATTTAACATTCTTCCAGACACTTATATGCCATTACACTACTCTTAATTAACATTTTAGGTTAAGGGTTGAAACCTGTCGGCTAGCCACGTGCCAAGATATTTCTTTATCACTCTAAAACACTAATTATTTGAACTTATTCCTTGCGGGTCTTTGTTGACGCTAATCCGATTACTTCACCGCACATGCAACTAGCGCTGTGTTCGGAGACGCGAGTATACGACCTATACGACATTTTGATTCCTTTGAGCGCCACCTTTAAAATAATAACAAGGACGAAAAAATGCATCCCGTGCTGATCCGTAAATATACCTTTGGGCGACACTGATAATGCGTGTTTCTTTCATGCATAACTATCCCATACATTAACTGTTCGTGTAATGTAAGTGCTACATGTCTTCTGAAAAGTGGCCCTTGTAACGAATTAAAGTGAATTCTCATATAATAAAAATGTCGTATTTCAAATTTCAACAAAATCTTTCAAAGAATTAAGAAAAGTGTACCTACGGGTTGTTAAGCAAACTAGCCTGTCTGATTAACATCAGTCAAACTTACAAAATATAATATTCACAGAGAAGTACTTTAATGACCTTTCATCCATCTGATCCATTTTTAGATGGCACACTGTAAAAACAAAAAAAGGCAAATGAAACACAAAATTCTTCTTGGAGACGCAACCCCGGGAAACTTATTTTTCTTTTATATAAATGAATTTTAGTCCAGGCTACTTTCATTATCCACTTTCTCTTCCACAAGGGAACCATTGAACAGTGGTGGCAATGGGTAAATTTGTATGCTTCTTATTTAACAAAGCTGTCAGTATCAGACCATACAGGCTTGATGATAGAATAATTAATGACTATGAAGCAGCTGGTTGAACAAGAATTGGAAGGGAAAACCGAAGAACTCAGAGAAAACTGCTCCAGCACAACTCTGCCCACCGCAAATCCCAGACGACCTGACCTGGGATCAAGTCCAGGCCGAGGTGGTGGTGGAGACGGCGACTCTTTTAAAGGAGACAGTCCCTCCATAAGATCTGTTCTCCCAAACACAATATCGGAAAAGACAGTACACACACAGAATGAGCCTCTTGGACAGAAAACCCTGGGAAATTCAGTGAATTTTTTCTGTTTCAAAAATCGGGAACAAGGGTGTAAAAATGATACATGAATATCTGTTTGTAACAAATGGCGCATCACAGACAAACTTAGATGTTCCTCTCAGCGACCTTCCTCAGGAAAATGAGGCACAGTGTACACAAAAAGGTAAGATGGCACACATTTAAAAATATTTCTCATGTTATGAAGAATTTCATTCAAAATAATACAAGATTAATCAACACTGCTGTACTTTTTATTTGTTTATTGTTTTTAGTGAAATAAAAATTCACATCACGATTCAGCTTGACTTAAAATTCGATCATTTTAAATCTGTACCATTTAGAAAAGTTCCAACCTATATGGAACACCAAACAGAACTCAAATTCTGTTCTTGAAGAATTTGCTTTGAAGGATCTGATGAAAAAAGAAACTAAATTATATACTAGAATAAGGTGTGATGTATTTTAATTTTTATTTATTTTAAGACATCGACTATGTAAGTTTTTTTGCTCACAATAATTGTTGTGTTCAACAAAAACTTACATAGTAGTGCTCTCAATGACAGATTAATTGTGGGAGGGATTTTCTGTGATCTAGCAAAAGCTTTCGATTGTGTTATCATGATATCTTACTATCGAAATTAAATTTCTATGGAATAACTGGCAAAGCTAATGAATGGATCAAATCATACCTCAAAAACAGGTATCAAAGAGTTGAAATAAATAATAAAAACTCCAGTCATAATGCATTTTCAAACTGGGGAATTATAAAGCACGGTGTTCCACAAGGATCAATTTTAGGTCCCTTACTTTTTCTTCTCTACATAAATGATCTATCTAAAACCATCAACAATAAATCTAAACCAATTCTATATGCAGATGACACTAGTATAATATTTAAGAACTCTAAATTTGACAACTTTAAAAATGACATAAATATTGTATTTGAAGCCTTAAACAGATGGTT